CCCTTCCAACCACTCCTCAGTTTTTGACCTTTTCTTTTTTAAGTAGGGCAGATTATAGTACCGGGATTGGTGAATCATGCCCGTTTCCCCTGTGCTCTACAGTTGATTAAATGTACTAGATACCAAATTGACTAAAAAAAGGGAAGAAAATCTTGTCCTTTCTCCTCTTCCACTGTAGCGTTCTCTGCCCTTCCTGAATTCAAGCATTACAATGAATCATACCAACTGTAACACTATTTAAAACCTTTACAGAAAGGTTCTTGTTCTATTAACTTCAATTTCATTCTCTGAATTAGTAAAACAAACCCCTTACTATACAGAAATAATTCCAAAATTACTTCAGAACAATTCAAAACGTAAGCTTTTTTTTTTTTTTGGCAAGGATAAAATGTCAAAAGCAGGAAAGAGTCCAGGATGGTTTAACTGTCAGGATTTGTCTTGGCTTTGCTGCTGTGAGAGGTTTGGCCACGAAGGATTCACACTATTAAATTCACCACCTTAAGGAGGCCTGTGTCACTGAATACCTGCAGTACACCGTAAACCTATATCTGTTTGAAAGACATAATGCATGACTGCTTGTATCAGTGTATGCTGATTTGTCATTTATTTAATTTAAAATGTATTGAAATCATATTATTAGAAAATCTGATTAAACTTTTTGTGAAACATATATTATGCCCATGCAGCTATTAGTTGTTTAAAAATTCAAAACTTTATCTTAGACCATACAATTTTTGCAGTGGAAACTCTCAAGGAAAGAGTAATAGAAAGAGAAAAAAAAAGGCAACCCCCCCTTGAAATTAAATCTGAATGTTCAGTCAAATATAGTCCCATGAGCTTTACTCTAAGAAGAAATAAAAGCAAAATGCAGTAAGTTACTACTTTCCGTGAGCCTGTCCAAGACAATAGTAGTAATGTATGTGAGTAAATAATTTGCTTTCCTAGGAAACATCAGACTATCTAATAGACAAACCTGCTGTGCATAAAAATACTTAAAGCCTTGTCTTGGAATTAACTGCACAATGTTAAGACTTTTGGAGTGCACAGGTGTCTTTTATTTTTTCAAATACTTTGTTGTTGACTACTAAAATGTGTTCTGAATGGTGGAGTTCTTTAGCCTTTTGTTATTCCAAAACTTGTTCTTCACTTGCATAATTGTTTTGGTTATTATATTACTTGTAATGCTTAGTTTAGCAGAAGCTGGAAGGAATGTTAAACTGTTTAGATTTTATTTCAGTGCCTCGTGAATAGGAATGAGAACATAACCTCTGGGGGGGTGGCAGAGAGCTGCCCACTAGTCCACTGTAAGATAAACGAACTTTATATGTCTAAGAAGTATGTAGTGATAATTACCATCAGGGATCAGAAACTAGTCTGACTAAACTACGGCTGTCAACTGGTATTGTAACACATTTGTTTTAAAGTCAAACCTTTTCATGATACACTTTTCATGAAACCATCTTAACTACTTGGAAAGCATTTAAAAAGGGAGAAGCAGCAAAGTAAAAGCAATTGGTTACAATTACTGAGTTTTGTATTTTTTTCATTAATTGTTTTTTTTTGGTAAATAAACCTTATCCAGATGGATAAACCTTCTCTATTGAGATAGAGTATAGAAAGAAATACTAGGTTGGTTTGTTTGTTGGTTTGTTTTATGGTTGTTTTTTTTTTTTCCTTGTAGATCAGAGCTGTCACTGGGAGACGTATCTACAAGCTCTCTAAAGGGGACTGTCCTGGTTGCTCAGTGTGACTGTAGCGTGTATGACGAGTGTGAGTGCTGTGTGCCTTCTCCGAGACTCAACTACACTTACATCATGTGGCTGAAGGTGATGATTGGTGTAACGCCCCTGTGGTCACCTTTGATGTCAGTCAAGCCCATAGACATAGGTAAGCATGACCTATATTTTAAACCTTTTTAAGTGGAGAACAGCAGCAGGATGTCTCTTCTGGAGAAGGAGAGCACAGACAGAAGAGGAAAAGGCTTCCTGGTGCTGTCTCACTTGTGCAGGGTGGTGCCGTATGCGTTTCTTAGCTGCCTAATGCCTGTCTGGGCTCTAGTACAAAACCGTACTGAGCAAAGGCCAGGCTGTCAACGTACTTGAGCTTCCATTTCTAATCAGTACCTCTCTGTGCCTGAGTCTGGAACAGTGGTGGAGCGTATCTGTCTGTGTTGCTGAGGATTTAAATTAAAAAGTGAGGGGGGAAAAAAAGCTGTTCCTAAACTTACTTATCAAATAAAACCACCTCTTTTCTCAGGCAGCTCTGTTGTCCTGATGCCTGCTTCCTTACCCATACAATACCAGCTTTTTCCACGTTGGGAAACATTCCTCTGTATTTAATCAAGTTAAAACTATACTGACGTTATGAATTTGATGTGTGTTGCTATCCAGTGTGCACAGTTATTGCAGATCTTGGCAAATTTTAAAAAGGCGGAGGCTCTGTCAGCTGTGGGGAAAAAAAAAATAGAAGTTTTATAAACCTCTTCTTAACTGATGTCCTTTGCAAGCTAAGTAAGTTAAAAGTCTCTGGGTGGGCTAGTTTTGAAGATAAGAGGTTGCATTTTTCATCATGCTGCTTTTAAGTTATGCTACAGGAAAAACTTAGAAATTCAGAGTTGCTGCCAGTATTTAAAAATGACATAATTAGTTTTTTCTGCTTAGTGAAGTATATTTTAAAAATGCATAATATTGGTATATGTTCTGCCAAGATTTAGCTCAATTAAAAATTATTTTGAAAGTGAAGCTGTGAATACTTGTGTAGTGTACAGTTGTACTTGCTTATAGATGATATCAGTAGAGCAGGTGGCATCAGTAGAACAGACGTAATTTGTATCGTAAGAGTGATGAAAGTGTGATGTAGAAGTTACTGACTTCTGTTTTAAAAGCTATGCCTTTTCGCAAGGAAGAGTGAGTGTAATCCTAACCATCATTCTAAATTGCCCATCCATTTTCCTCTCCGGAGAGTTCTCTTCAGCCTTGTAGGAAATTTCTGAAACTCTCCATTTTTACTTTGCCCTAATGTAGCTCTCCTGGAGACCCTCTTTCATAGCCATAATCACTGTGGAAGGGATGGGAATACTTAGAAATTTTTTGCGTACCATACGAGGACATTATCTCCTGACCCTTAAGGAGCTGAGCTAAGTCCTTTGCTCAGCACTCCCATCCTTCTGTCCTCTTTTCAGCAAAACAGATAAGTTAGTGCTTGGTTACTGGGGAGAATCATGAACCAAGGCAAGAAATTCATGTAGTCTTAAGGCAAATGTTAGGTCAAACAACACGTCCTGGTAACTAACTATATAACAGCACCAGGGTGTACTTTTCCAGTGGTGTTACACAACATCAGTCTGTCGTACACTAGCTACAGAGCAGCTCTTGAAAACGGAGTTTAAAAGAAAGGTGTTGAAAGAGACTTCTGAATCAGTAAAAACCCATTACCGCCAGCAGTCACAGGCAGTAAGGTTAGTGGTAAACTTGTTAATTAATTTGTGTGCAGTAAAGCCTGAGCCTCCTTTGAACCTGCGCCTAGAAATGACAGAGGAAGGTCAATTGAAGATCTGCTGGTCTGACCCTGCGCTGATGCCATACCCGCTTCAGTATGAAGTGAAGATCTCGGCAAATTCAGGTCAAAATGGTTGGCAGGTGAGTCAGCTCTGCTTGCTTTGTTTTATGATGGAGCAGTACAGGTCAGTGGGTCTCTTCCAGAGCTCAGGATTTCTTACCACCCTCCTCCTTCTTGGGCAGTGGCTCTGGTGGGCTGAGCAACATGGCTGGTCTGATGGAGCTGTGCATGGCACACTGGTTTCTCCTGAGCTGGTGTGTCCAGTAGACCCTGGTAAACATCAACAGGATGTGGTTAAGCTGGCAAGCTGGACTTTACATCTGTTATGCTAGGAGAGCCACTAAACAATGTTGAAAGACCCATCTCCTGTTGGGTGATACAAACAAACTCCCATCTTTCTTTTTGGATGAAATGCTAGGTTCTGTGAAGTCTAAAGGCAAAGCTCTCTCCTTTCAGCAAACCCCAAATTTCATGATATATGTGTATATTTTTAATATGTATAGCTTTTATTGGTGAATTGCTTTTTCTGTTGCTACCACACAACTGGCTGTGGAATAAAAAGCAGCTGTTAATTAGCAGTCCATAATAAAATAACATATTTTCCACAGAGGTATGCAACCTCTACCATATTCAAATTTACAGTAAATTTAAAGAAGAAAGCTTTTTTTACCCAACTTGCTGCCTAAAAAGTACACTGTAGACTATTTGTTTTGGTTCCCTCTGTCTCTTTCTTTTTCCTGTTCCATTATACAACAATAACCGCTTCTAATAATCCAACAGGTGGTTCAAGTTGCTCTAGAAACCTCACTGGCCATAGACAATACACTACTTGATTCTTCATACTTAGTTCAAGTACGGTGCAGGAATCGCCATGGTCCAGGGTTCTGGAGTGACTGGAGCACACCGTATAACTTGGGAGGTAGGTCACGTGCGGTCACTTAGGTGCAGTAAGTAGTCTTTTGGAGTAGAGCAGGTTTCCCAGTTTGGTTTAGTTAGTGGAATGAATAGTTGTGTTGTCCACGGAGGTACGGTATGCATGAGTTGGGCTGAAAAATCCTGTGGAAGTTCTTTCCCCTTCTGCTTCTCCTTCTGCGTGGCTTTGCCTGAGATTCTGCTCCTTCCTTTGTACAAGACTTGCATTGAAAGAGTGAGTTCTGGACTAATGCATGTAGACTGCACAGTCACCTCTGTGACACCTCCTTGTCTGGCCCTGTTGCTTGCTTACCAAGCACCTGTTCAGACCCAGAAAAAGCTTTTTTTCTAAGAGTTTTTCCATTTCAAAAGGCAGTTGGCAGTGTTTGACCTCTACTCAGTACAAGATTTTTCTCCTGATGCTTTCTCTAACTTTTAGTTTCGTGTGAGGCTTTGTAGCCGAACTAAAAGCACAGAAAACAGTTTTGGGTTTCTAGATTTAACATAATCCATCTTGGTTTGTAATGCTGAGCCCCACTCATAAACTGCGTAATAGCCCCAGTCAATCAGTTTCAATGCACACGGCTTTAGTGTTAAGCATATAATCTTATATACTGTAATCAATTACTACCCAAATAGATTGAGTTCCTGACATGTTGCATACTGTAGGAGCTCTCCTAGACTGAGAAAGGGCTCTTATGATTTAGTCAGGTCCCTTATATCAACATAGCTCCTGCTAAAATGATAAATCATAATGGCTCTTTATTCATGGTCAGAGTATGTAGGGAGGGAGGGAAATATTGTTAGGCAAATCCCTGGTCAGTTATCAGGATTGCTGATTTCCTTTGCAGATTGAGCTGGTTTGGATCAGCCTAAAGATTTCAGGATTTTTTGCATTGTATTTTTCCGTGCTCTGCTTATGATTAACTGGAAATGTTTTGGTCTGTGTTGTCACAGGTATCCTCTCAACTATTACATGACAGTACTAGTACCTAAGCGCTTACATGTACATCTCCTCACTCTATGCTAAATAATGTAATGTGTGTGTTTAATGTAAGTACCAAGGAAGTTACTAAACTTTGAGGAAGGAACTCTCTTCCAAGAAAGCTGAAAATACACAGACCCTCATGGCAATCAAGCATAAAACCCAAGATGCCTGATTATTTGACTAGAGGTTTAACTGGCCCTTAGTCTTTTGGATTTATACCTATATATATAAAATCTAAAAAAAGCTACGTGTGTGTACATGCATATATAACTGTGTAGCTTTGAGAATTTTTGGGGGGTAGATGCATGTTCTTACTCACATAGTGATATTTTCAGAAACGGTTTATAAGCGTATTGAGAAATATGGATGTAAAAGAGATGCAGTAGGTACTGTTAGATTATTTTTTATTAATCCTGTTATGGGATATGTAATTGTATTAAACATACATCTCATCAGCAAAATAATCCTGTTGTGACAAACCTGAGAGCAGCATAGAGGGATTAATTTCTTCACTGCAGGAAGCTCAAATTGGCATATTCTCCCAATGTCAGGACGAGCCAATGGAGGAGCAGTGGAGTGTGCAGCACAGCTGGGAGCAGTGCAGCAGCTGGTACAGGAACACTGCCTTGCATGCATGGAGGCACATTAACACTGCAAGAGTAAATGCTGAAATCAGGCAGTTATATTTTTGTACAACTGACCAGTTTCACGTTCTTATTTATATCACAGAATCACAGAATGTTCAGAGTTGGAAGGGACCTCTAGAGCTCACCCAGTCCCACTCCCCTGCTAAAGCAGGACTGCCCAGAGCACATCACTCAGGACTGCATCCAGACGGGTTTTGAAAATCTCCAGAGAAGGGGACTCCACCCCCTCCCTGGGCAGCCTGGGCCACTGCTCTGCCACCCCAACTGTAGAGAAGTTTTTCTGTGTGTTGGAACGGAACTTCCTCTGTTCCAACTTGTGCCCATTGCCCCTCGTCCTGTCACTGGAACCACCTTCCATTTAACATGGAAGTCTTTGACAATGGCAATATTGTAAGTCTGCTCTGTTATCTGAGGAGGTCTGTATTTTGGAGAAATCCTAAAAATATCTGACGTGGTTCCTCAACTGTGGAAAGTAATCCTGACCTTTTAAGGATTTTCGTGCTGGCTTTGGGTTGATCTTTGGCAAAAGTTCCTTTTTAGCAGGTGTATAACACCTGTAGCTTCCCTAAGTACCTGACTGATTGAGGCTGTGCATATGCATGTTCACATGCTTTGCAAATTCAGTGTCTTTATGCCTAGGTGAATTACTTACTGTACCACTGCTACCATTTGGTGTTAACTACGCTGCTGAGATTGTAAAACAATTTTTTGAGACATTAATCTCCTGCTGATTTCAATAGAAGCAGGATTAGTAACTACTGGAAAGCTTGATTATTATTTTTTTTAAATTCATTTTTATTCAGTCCGACCTCCTCCAGATCTGAATGGCAATTCCCTCGAAATCTGTGTTCCGGTATTACAGTAATGCTTCAGCTAGCATGTGATTTCAACATCCTTGCAGGGTTCAAAGGGTTAGATAATTTTTTTTCCAAACCCAAACATAGCCCTTCTCTTACTTGGATCTTCTCTTGCTTTTACCCAAGGACAATTTTATGATTTTAAAATCTGTGGGGTATGTGCTTGTGAGACGAGTTACAGAAGCTAACCCTTCCTAGGTTGCAAGTACTTGTTGCAGTATTTAAATAAGCTGACCTGATGCCTTAAAAAAGTGGGCCAAGTAAAAAGCAGCAGTGTTAATCTAGTTTCCCAAGATTTAATTTACAGGAGCCTGTATGATTCCCTGTTTCCCTGGTGCTGCTGTGTGTTGTTTTCACTGTACTCTCCAGTGATTTTCTGCTCATTTAATTCCTGTTTGCCTGGGGATATTAAAGATTATTTTTACCAGAATTTACAAATACCAGTTATGGAGGGAGACAGTCAAAGGCTTATTTCTGCCTCTCTCCCCTAAAGTTGTTAATAGGAATTAAAAATTAGGAAATTTAGAAATACAACTGTATGATAATAATAATAATATTTTTCTATTGACATACGCTTTAATGGTTTTTGTTCAGATTCTGATCTTAATGGATTTTTTTTCCTCTTTTTTTCCCCTTCTGTGTAGCTGAAGTTCTGTACTTCCCTCCTAAGATACTGACCAGTGTTGGTTCTAATGTTTCCTTTCATTGTATCTATAAAAACAAAACCAAGATTGTAGTGTCCAAGAAGATTGTTTGGTGGCTGAATTTAGCAGAAGAAATCCCAGAAAGTCAGTATACGCTTGTGAATGATCGCGTAAGCAAAGTTACTCTTTTCAACTTGAAAGCAACAAAACCTAGAGGAAGTTTCTTCTATAACGCATTATACTGTTGTCATCAAAATAGGGAATGTCATCATAGATACGCTGAATTATATGTAGTAGGTAAGATTCCAGATGATTTTAAATTACAATTTTGGTGCGTTTTAATAGTAAGGTTGGAATATTTCCATTTTAAACTTCAGTTAGCTTTTATTGAGCAGTTATGACTTGTAATGCATGTTTTTGTATAAACAATCATATCTTTATTAATAATCTTTCAATGTGTTTTAATTAGATGTGAATATTAGTATCACATGTGAAACGGATGGGTACTTAACTAAAATGACTTGCAGATGGTCAGCAAACCCAAACACATTGCTCCTGGGGAGTTCCTTGCAGTTGAGATACTACAGGTATGTATAGCTTTTAATGCACTCTTTATGTTTGGAAAGTGTTGCTCTGGAAATACTATTACAGCAAAGAATTCTGAACAGATGTAACTATAAAATGTGCTTAGTTTCTGTAAGCTGGACTTTTCCCAACAGGAACTCCAGGGGTATTAACTACATGTGCAGAAAGGGGACCAAAGATACCCGAGTATGTAACATGGGTTCTATTTACCATGTTTTTCAGCATTTGTAAAACCTGTAGGTGCAGTTTGGAAGTTGATTTTCTTAAACTAGATGTGTTTGCTTGTATCAGTTATAAAAATTATTCTTCTCGTTGCTTCTATCTACAGATTGTAAGGAAATAAGAGAAAAAAGCATTCACAGTGAGAGTGACTGGGCACTGGATTAGTGGTCCAGAGAGGTTGTAGAATCTCTGTCCTTGGAGACTTTCAGATCTGACAGCTAGAGCTGACAGATGGAGCTCAGAGGGTTGTGGTTAGTGGTGCAGAGTCTAGTTGGAGGTCAGTAACAAGTGGTGTCCCTCAGGGGTCAGTACTGGGTCCAGTCCTGTTCCATATATTCATCGATGACCTGGATGAAGGGATGGAGTGTACCATCAGAAAGTTTGCTGATGACATAAAACTGGGAGGAGTGGCTGACACACCAGAAGGCTGTGCTGCCATCCAGCGTGACCTGGACAGGCTGGAGGGTTGGGCAGAGAGAAACCTAATGAAGTTCAACAAGGGTAAGTGTAGGGCACTGCATCTGGGGAGGAATAACCCCGTGCACCAGTACAGGTTGGGGGTGATCTCCTGGAGAGCAGCTCTGTGGAAAAGGACCTGGGAGTCCTGGGGGACAACAGGATGCCCATAAGCCAGCAATGTGCCCTGGTGGCCAAGAAGGCCAATGGCATCTGGGGGGGTGCATCAAGAAGAGTGTGGCCAGCAGGTGGAGGGAGGTCATCCTCCCCCTCTGCTCTGCCCTGGGGAGGCCACATCTGGAGCACTGTGTCCAGTTCGGGGCTCCCCGGGTCAAGAAGGACAGGGAACTGCTGGCGAGGGTCCAGCAAAGGGCTACAGAGATGCTGAGGGGACTGGAGCATCTCTCTGCTGAGGAAAGGCTGAGGGACGTGGGGCTGTTCAGTCTGGAGAAGAGAAGACTGAGGGGGATCTCATCAATGCTGATCAGTCCTTCAAGGGAGGGTGGCAGGGGGATGGGAACAGTCTGGTTCCAGTGGTGCTCAGTGATACGAGAAGGGGTAACAGGCACAAACTTCAACATAGGAAGTTCCATCTCCACCTGAGGAGGGCCTTCTCTGCTGTGAGGGTGGCAGAGCAGTGGCACAGGCTGCCCAGAGAGGTGGGGGAGTCTCCCCCTCTGGAGCCATCCCAAACCCGCCTGGACGCCGTCCTGTGCCACTGCTGGAGGTGCCCCTGCTCTGGCGGGGGGTGGCACTGGGGGAGCTCCAGAGGGCCCTTCCGACCCCGACCATTCTGTGATCTCAACTGGACAACTGGGCAACTTCCTCTGACTTTGAATTTAACCCTGCTTTGAGTCAGAGGTAGGACTTGAGACCTCTTGAGGTCTCCATTCAATCTTTGATTTTTCTATAATTCTGTATCTTTTTTTTTTTTCTGTATACAGACAGTAGATAAAAATACAGGGACGGAATTTAATTAATTCCAGACAGAAAAAAATCTTGCTTATAAAAGGAGAATCAAATCTTAGTTCACAAAGGGAATATTGCTTTATGAAGGTAGCATCTTTGGTGGCTAGAGCAATTCTTAGTTTTCTTGGGTTTGGTCAGGTGTCTTGGCCTCGCCTGTTTTCAGATAGTTGGCGTGATTTTGGACAGAGCAGGAGAACTGGGGTGTGGTGTGGGGCAAACACATTATTGTTTGCAAAATACAAACCTGATTATTAAAGCATCAGTATGATCATCCTTATCTTCATTCATATGCACAAATATTGCTTGTGACAGTATTGTTTTACCATGAAACTAAGAAATCCCATTGAGTTACTAATATATTGAGCTTGAGAGTTTCCTAGAACTGTGTTATTTTTTATATAAACAAGACAGACAGACAACCCTTCTGAGAAAAAATACTTTGTTTTGCTGCTCTGCTAGACTGAATATGCAAAAGTTTTGGCGAACAAGCTTAAATCAACCCTGAGGGCCTAATCCTATTTGGAAAGCTGGACTGTCTTCTCTGTTGGAGGTGGACAGAAGTTTTGAACTATCATAGTACCCAGGTGAATATTTGTCAGGATTTTGTGGACTAAAGTAATAACTGGAATGCTTGAGATTTCAAGTGGGAGGCTTTTAGGGCAGGATTAGTGACTAGCTGTCTGCTAAGGTAGATTTTGTTTCAACTGTCTTCACAAATATGAATATAATGAGTGTACTGCTGGGCAGGAAGCTTGAAATAAAACCCATGCTGCTCTTGCCATGTTTTTTATTCCCACTTTTTTACTGTTGAGGTTTAGCTAAAAATGTTATTTTCTAATAGGAGGTGATAACGTGTACATTTGTTACAGTGTCCCTGCTAGATGAAACAGTGAAGATGAATACAGACTGAAAATGCTTCCCAGATGCTAGTATTTATTGTGATCTTTCTTTTTGTTCCTTTTTTTTTTGGTTTGTTAATAGTAAGATCTGAAAGAGGAAAAATTAAAAAAAAAAAAATCAAAGGGGACCATATGAATGCAGCGACTACCAAAATGTTAAAGTGTAAAATGTTTAAAAATTTATAGCTTTGAAAAATCAGTATCATTTGCATAACACTCCATTGCATATTGGGAACAAAAACGCAAAAAGAACTTGGATGTTTACAAGCTTGCAACCAAATGAAGCGGTCAGTTTTTTTAATGCCCAAGCTTGATTGTAAGAGGCACCATATACAAGTTGGAGTTGCTAGGATTCGCTTAGACATAGACAAGTCCTCAGGATGAAAATTGGAAATTAGATGTGTTGCAGTCACATCAGGCATGTCGGGTTTTCCAGGAGCAGGCAGCTATTCTTCTTAGTTACTGATGCAATTACATTTTATAGATGAAATCCAATGCTGTGCAGTAATGTGGTGCGATAGCTTTGCTGTTGGTGTTTTGTTTTGGTTGGGTTCTTACTTCATCTTCCCCTACAGTCAGTGCTGCCAACAGAAACAGCACAGAAATGATGGTGCTGTAAAAACAGAGAACGCTAAGCTAAACCTTCAAAGCACCAGGCACCAGTTTAATCAGTATTAGCTCTGTTGACAGGAAGAGGAGAGAGTCAGCTAAGTGTAACTTTTGTGGTTCAGTTGAATAACCAGTGCCCTATCTGGCCACTCTCACCACAAGTCTGAGCTCTGCACAAGCTTAGGAGAAATCAGGAGAAACTGGAAAACTTTTCCTTTCCATCACCAATAAGATGGCCAGTGCCATTTTATCCAGAGTCCAGGTCTCCTCCCTTCTGTTGCCAGATGTGATACTAAATGTATGTGGGATTTCAATACCACCCCCCAGAACTGATATTTTTGGGGGATTTCTGTCTCACAGAGACTTCACTGTATGTGTCCGATTGGTCCACGTGGCAGCTTTCCCCTGGACACCAGTTGATATTTTGAAAGTCATATTCCTGGCTGGGGTAAATTCTTGGCTGGACATCTGCCTTGCTATGTTTATTGCTAATACTACCACTCAAGTAACATGATTTATGAGTATTTGGAGATGCCTGCTCTTGTTGTACCTGCTTCTTCCTGTGGTTAATCTGTTATCGAGAGATTTTGCACTAAGGAGAGCCTTTCACGTCCTGCTTTTTAAGGCTAAGAGCCAAAGCTTCAAGGAGTTACACTGCAGTGTTATTTATCCATTTAGTGCAGACTCAAGTTCAAGATCTGTCCAAATAATCATCAAAAAAACCCAGGTGGTTCCAGTGACACCATTTGTTTTAATTGCCTTCAGAGTTCTAGTTTACTGGTGCCATGAGCAGTTGCAGTGTATTAACGAATGTGGATTTTTTTCTCTTTTAAGGAGCAAAATTTATTGTTCTGACTTTCCAAGTACTTCTCCAAAATCAGAGGTGAAAGAATGCCATTTACAGAAGAATCATTCTTATGAGTGCACATTTCAGCCTATTTTTCTTTTATCTGGATATACCATGTGGATAGAGTTTAACCACTCACTAGGAACACTTGAATCCTCACCAACTTGTGTCGTTCCAGCAGATGTGGGTAGGTCAAGATTCGTGCACATCTTTCTTCACTTGTGACCTTGGATTTCATTCCTTATATGGTGTAGGTAAAGTACTTCTTCATAGCATTTTAAATAAATTAGATTGTGGAAAGAACATAAAACCAAAAGAGTTTTGATATTGTTTTCTAAAAGAGATTGGATTAAATGTTATTTCCATACATTTTGTTTGGCACAGGAGCAGACTGTAACTGCAGCTAATACCTATAAAATGAAACATCCAGTTTTGCATGTTTATCCTCTCAGGTGTTTTGCAAAGACATCTACAGAAAATGGAAGTATGACATTTAAAAAGGCTCTCTAATTGTTAAGGTCCTTTGTTATTTAATTTTTCTGAAGTCTTAGATTAGTTTTTAAGTTTATACTTTGATACAGTGTAGCACTATATGTATTATTTACACAGTTGTGTATCATTTAAAATTATATGGACTGCTCATGCTCTTGCATACTTTCCCAAAGTTTCTTTTGTGACACAGAGCTCTTACAAAAATCTGTGTAAAACCAAGAGGCAAGAACAGTGTTTGAGTGTTTTCAAACACTGCAACATGTGCAAAGCATGTCTTATTATCCGGTCTATGAGTCAGAGCATTCATTGGACTGTGTATTTTTTGGACACAAATGTGAACATATGTAGAGAGAAAACATGGCATCTAGACCACAGCAGTGTTGCAGTGTTGCACGAAATAAAGCAGAATAATGAAATACATCTATTATGTGTGTGGGAAAACATGCATACAGAGAACATAAATTAAACCAGACTGTCCTTTGCATTTCAAAGTTTAAATAGAGTAAGCAAAAATTAATGTAATGGGAAGGAAAGGCAAAGTCCAGTGCATTATAGCTAAGTGGGGTATGGGAATTATTCTTACGATTCATTTGGTGGCCTTGTGGTTTTCAAGGTTGCTCCTGTCTAATTCAGAGCTGTTTGTGCCTTTTTGACAAGCAAGTTTGCTGATTATCGGAGCACGATTGGGAGCCTTGGGCGTCAGAAAGGAGGGTGGTGTGAGGGATGGTGGGTAGGGATCCTGCACTTCTGCTGCTTAGACACTTTGCCAAGAGAACCTGGCACCTTGTCAGCATGGCAGCTGCCGTGTTAGTGGCTGTGCTCTTTTTGAGGAAAGGTGGTGGCTTTATATGAAGCTGCCCAGTGAGGAATTCTAGCAGAACTTTAGAAATCTGGTTTATTCAAGTCATCACTTTAAATAAAAAGCAATGAATAGAATTGACCTACACTGGACGAAAGACGCTCTGTATCATAGTAAACCAAAACATACTCATTCTAGCACCACCCAAAATTTAAAGCTTATTTCATATTTTTTTTTGTTGTTATTTGCTCAGTCACCATCTGATTAGTATATTCTAACTTTGCTTTGACAAACTAGTGTTTGGTGATGTTCGTGTTTAGTCTGCTGAAGAAGCTCAATTTTGGTGGAATTGCCTATTAGTAAAATAAAAACTTAATGCACTGTTTCCATGAATCATTGCATAATGTCTGTCACCGTTCTTTATAGGAGCTGCCTTTCTGGGCCGTGTGTGCTACTACTTTCTGTAGTGGTGCACCCCATTAGTGCCAGGCTACATCTTTTGCTGTTTGTACCAGGGGAGGTACCAAGTGCTAGAACCAATATAAGCTCTGGTGGTTTAAATTAAAATGAAATGTACTGAAACTTGCCCATGGGTTATTATTTTTTTTTTTTTTTAAATAAATTGTTCTGTAAGAAACTTTGATTTTTGAGATTTGAACTTGAGATTTTTTTGGTCATTTTAGTTTTGGACAAAATTTGAATGCATTTTCCATTGGATAAACATTGCCTTTCTCAGTCAGCAATGCTTTTGTGTGCAGTGAATGGGCAAGCCGGCCTGGATTGGTGAATTGTTGTGTTTGTGTTATAGTCCAGCTTCACTTGGAGTAGCAGAGGCCACAATGTGTTACTTCCCACCCTCAGGACAGAAGAAAGTAAACCATAATGATTTGATTTAATGAGAAATGTCGGTACAGACAGACATTACAGCTGGGGTTTTTTTTCTTTTCTTTCAATTTTCTAGTGAAGCCGCTTCCTCCCTCCGACGTTAAAGCAGAAATCACCAGGAATGTTGGGCTGCTGAATGTGAGCTGGACAAACCCAGTATTTACAAACAACGATCTTAAATTTCAGATTCGGTATGCTGTGAACAGGAAAGAAATTACTTGGGAGGTACTGTCTCTTTGAATCTAGATTGAAGCATGGATTGTTGCAGTGTTGTCATTTAGTGTGTTAGGTGGTTTTTGTGGAATTTGTAGCATGCAATGAACCAGCTGTAAGCATTCGCATTATCTAGCAAAGGAATATTACTGATGAGGCCACTTTCTCATTGGATTCCTTTTCAGGAATTTTGACTCTAACAGATGCCTACACAGCCTTTTGTTCTTACTCTAAATGTTTTGACTTCCATTACAGCTTTATGAAATTTCAAATGCACCAAGATCAGCTGTGATAAAAGTTCAGAAGCTTTGCGTTGAGTATGTTGTTCAGGTCCGGTGCAGAGAACTGGATGGATCAGGTTACTGGAGCAACTGGAGCAGATCAGCCTATACGCTTGTAAAAGATATCAAAGGTACATGTGCTTTCAGAGTGCACTCTGATGGTCTGTCTAGTTTCAGACTGAGGTGTGCCACTGTTCTTTCAAAACTATGTAATCATGCAGCTCCCTTACAAGGCCCTGAATTTTGGAGAGTTATTATTGAAGATCCAGCAAGGAGGCAGAAGAACGTTACCCTCCTGTGGAAGGTGAGAACAGTTACATTTTGGTCTTCTGTTTTGATCCAAAAGCCATTGGTAGAATTGCCAAAAAGTGAGTACGATAAGCACATGCTGCCCTGGGGGCAAACTTGGGCAGTTGATGTTTGTGGGACTTCACATGCAAGGCACTTGGGATACGACTTCGTTTGTGTTACTGCCTCTTGCTTGTCTAATACTAGAGGCAAGTAGAGGTTGCTGGTGAATATTGATTGTAATGTTGTGGTACCAGGTGAGATGGTTCTGTATTCTTTGTTCAGTCAGCCTGTCTTCTACTTTACTCCCTTCTGTTCTAGTGCTGTGTGATTGCTCTGGATGGCTCGGAGGTAGGTGAAGCTCAGCACAGACCTGTGCTGGCAGCAGGCATGTTCCCAGACTCGGGAAGCTCCCAGCTCAGCCTTCCATAGCGACCTGATTTTTGTGCAGTGGACCCATCTGAGGTTGTGGTCAAATTGTTCTTGCGCAGGTCCAGTTGTGTGCACCACAGCCATGTGGGGCTGCATCGCAGCCGGGTGGAGCATCCCATTATTCCTGAAGTCTTACATGCCTTGCTGCTTTAGGAGAGCCCTCAGATCTCCCAGCAGGCTGCAAGAGACCAGACCTGCTCTCTGGTTGTACTAATGCAGCTGAAGCGTCCATGCTGTATGACATGTTCATGTCAGCCTACACTTTCAGTGTTAAGTTATACAAATGCTATGAAACAGAGACTTAAAATGTTATTTGTTCTAATACTCAGGAAAAAGAATAATGTGGAATTGAAGACGCTAAGTTATAATGAAATGCAGCCTTCAGCTGCTGAGTTCTGCTGAGCAAGATCTCTGAGCAGAAGGTGCCACTGATTTCTAGGCAGCTGCCTGTATAAACACCACTGCAACTGCATGTAAACTGGGCAAAGCTACGTTGAAAGGTTAATGCAGGACAGAGAAAAAAGTACATTAGTGACTGCCCACTCCTGTTTGCCCATGTTTAGTATGCAAACAGTCATCTGTTCTGGTTTTTCTGTCCTGAAAAATACTAACATAAACCAGTGAGTTACTGCAGGAGTCTGAAAGCTTGTCTTTCCTTGTCTCCCCTGCCCTCCCTTCACTGGAAAGATAGCAAGTAAGTGTGTCAACTCTCAGAGACATAAAAAATTAAGTCTTTAAATGGACTACAGTGCCTTTGCTAAAAGGACAGTAGCCAGTCAAGAGAATATCTTTATTGGGTCATGTTTTCTTAAAATTGGAGCAGTGCCTTCTGCCCAAATAACATTTGCTTTTGAAATCAAAGACTGGAAAATTAATGAATGCTAATGTTTGCTGCAGCCACTGATGAAGAATCACTCATTGTGCAGTGTGAGCCGATACATTATAAAGCATCAGACATCAGGAAACACCACGTGGTCAGAATATGTTGATAACGGCACTACCTGTTCATTTCCATGGACTGAACACACACACACCATTACAGTTTTAGCCATGAATTCAGTTGGAGTTTCTTCAATTAATTTTAATTTAACACTATCACAGGAAATGAGCACAGGTAAGAACTCCAATTAGTAACCGTTTTGAGATGTGGAAAATGCTAGGAGTCCTTTTAATGCTTTTGGACAAAGCCGCCTTTGTAATAAAATTCCCTTTGTTAGAATAAAAAATGTTTTATGATGATGCATTCAGCTCTATATGGGAAACAGATTCTGTATCTCATCAACAGAGATCTTTGATAAATGAAATTTCCATCAGCTGAAAATCTTAATGATCTTTGTGTTGGGAAAAGAGTTGTCTTTAACTGGCCTTTCTTTCCTTCCCTGACAATTTAAAGTAATTAATCAAAGAAAAACATCTTACTGTAGAACTGATCTTTCATCGATTTTGTCTTGGGAACACC